CTATGTATATTGGTGGCGAGTGAACAATACAGAGCGTCGATTTGTTTTAAATCCAGGTAGGTATCAAATTTGAAATTAGGTAGTAAAATTACGTAAAAATATATAGCTTCGTAATTACCTATTGGTGAGCCGTGAGGTGAATAATTGCATCATTGGCAATGTTAAGCTAGGAACTAATAACACCACTTTTGAAGAAAAAAAAGAAAAAAACAAATTTTAGTTATCAAAGGACGGTCGATGATCATAAAACCCCATAGCCCATATGTTTTCAACGAAAACGCTCCGGCACACATTGATCAGCGGCGCGTAGGGCATTGAGGTTCACACACTGCAACTATTTCTGTCCGTATCAGGCCGCTGCAGCCGCAGGACGCTCCGTCCCTCGGTATAAAATGATCAGATGAGTGATGACGTCAGCTCACAGAGGAAGTGACGTCATAAAGTTCTCACCATTCTGCGCGTTCTTACCTATATACAAAAAAAATTGGATCCCCAAAAATTGGAGTATGCTTTTAACCATGCTAGGATGTAAAAAATGTCAGTCGAAGATTTCATTGGTTTTGGCAATGAATGAATATAATGGCTTCCTTTTTCCCCGGGTCATATGTCATGGGGCTGTTCGCGCCGTAAGACCACGGCGTCCCGCGTCCCAAGACCAATGTGAGACGCCGCCGGTCGTGCTCGGCAGTCGGCTCCGACCGGCCACCACCGCAGCCGCGGGTGGGACCGTTAGTAATGAACAAAACCGAGACACCGCAACGGCAGGCCGTCGCCGGAGGTGAGACCGCAGCTGGGCTCGGTCGGCGCACTCGGCAGACAGCTGATTGGCTGCTTCAGCCTGAGACGGAACGATCTGACAAGTAGCAGGAGCACCACTGACGCGTTACATCAGAGCCTATCGACAAAATTACCAGCAATTAATTGTCGAGTTTACTCCATAAGCAGAAATGCTGAGCAATCTTCGCGACAGCCCAACACTTGAAATTTCAATCGCTTCAGAACGCCGAGTCAGCTGGCGATACGAGCGGATACCGTGAGTGCGCCGAGTGTGAAAGAAACGGCTATATGACGAACCTATCGGATAAGGTCGGAGATATTGGCGCTTGGATACAGAGTTTGACCGAGGTACGCCTGGCCTCTGTCACCGGGTTTACCAGGGTAAAATACCTAAAACCACTATAACCAGACTAACTTGACGACCGTCAAGTTAAAAAATACTTTATATTTCAATATTCCGGGAAACCTTAAAATTTGCATGACCCATATCTCATGACCCCCTGTGACCTAGAGACTAAAAATTCACTGGGACGTAGTAGTGCCCATAGGTCAACTTGTATGCCAAATTTGAGCAAAGTCGGAGAGGTCATGGTGAATTTGCCTAGGTGATCTGTCATGGAATTGCACCGGTGCAAGTTGAGCTTGATTATAGGTATTTTAGTCAGGTCAACATTGACACCAAAGAACATGATGAGAGATGAGGAACGCCCTCGGACCGTTGTCAACCTCTCGACTCGAGAGGGTCGAGAAGAAGCTCATGTTCAACAGATAAGGTTATTGCAACGGAGAAGCTTGGTTGGATAGGTAACGTTATTACATAACAAACTTCAACAACTTGAAAGCTGAATGATCGCATTATGTTGTTAAGCGTACCTATGCATGCACCTACTGGACGATGCGTTCAGCATTGTATTGTATTGTATTCAGTGTGTTGTAGACGTTCCTGAACGCATCCTAGGTATGCATCTTATGCAATTCGGTGCAGTGCCATATATATGTTGCAGGCACTTTAGAAAATCAGTCATTTTGTAAAATGCCTAGGCATTTTGCAAACTGCCTGATTTTCCAGGCTTTTTGCAAAAAGCCTAGGCATTTTACAAAATGACTGACTCTCCAGTCATTTTGCAAAATGCCTAGGCATTTTACAAAATACCTAGCCATTTTACAAAATGACTGAACAGCGTGTTGTAGATACGAGTACCTAATTATATACGTTTTGGTAGCGTGTAGGTGGACCGAGGAGTCCAGCATTATGACCAGAGGAGTCCAGCAGTGGGAAGTCCATGCCTACCTCTATTTTGAGAAGTGCAGGCCCGCGACATTTCCAACCCCCACGTCAGCAACGCTGCTGGATTTAAAATGATCGATCTGGAGCGTCAACAAACGACTGGCCCTATGCCGGCCTGTATCTGTAAAACTATTAGTGGTCGCGAGGATTCGATCCCACACACTTTGGCGTTAGTGTCTTCTGAAACCAACGCTCTCGTCCTACGCCAAACGACCTGATAAATCTCCCGATGTGGAGCTTGATATTTTTAACTGGGACCATGCAAGTAGGTACTCAAAGCTGTCAAACAAAGACACAATCAAACAAAGACTACACTCATTCGTTTACACGTAATTGTACATCAACCGGGCCTGCCTATTGACTAGGGCCGGTCTCCGGCTAGTTTTGTTAGGTCTAGTTTCAGGCAGAACATGAACGGCGTTGATGTACTTGGGAGTTTTTACAGCGTTAACTAAACAATGCTTTATGCTACAGCCGAGTCTGCAACTCAACCTGGTCGTTACTCAGCATTGTCGTCATCACAGAGCTTCAAATCGATCAGCTACAGGCTAAACACGTACCTATAGGGTATAGGAAGACGTCCAAAAACTGTTGGCCATAGTATCTGTAGTGGGATCTATGTTCCATGCTGGTCAGGCATTTTGCAAAATGCCTAGTCATTTTGTAAAATGGCTAGCCATTTTGAAAAAAGCCTGGTTGCGTTCAGTCATTTTTCAAACAGCCGTCTTTTTGTAAAATGCCTAGGCATTTTACAAAATGACTGATTTTCTAAAGTGCCTGCAACATATATACGGCACTCGGTGATCATCATGGCATAAGCTGGCAATCTTGACGCAGACAAGTGGTTAACTTTTCTTTTCACGGCTGTTATATCAGCATTCAGCAGCTCTCTCAGTCAAGAGTGTGCAACTTTGAACTCCACCTATAGTACACTACCTATGTGTTATGTAAGCGGTGATCCGGAAATTAAATCGGATAGGTACCTAATGCAAAACAATTTCCACCGGGTTCTGTTCCATTTGGTGAGAGTCTGGCTTACATTGTCCGATGCGGTTCGCCACATGTCATTTGCGATGCACTAAACAATTATTAAACAGGTGTTTTTTTTTTTCGTTCGAAACTAAGTATGCTGTGCCAAACACTTGGCGCCCGACCTCGTGCCTATCAGAGCATTCGCAAAGTTAATGCCCGTCTCAACAGGACCGGCCATGAACCGGCTCATCCGCGGGGAACTTTGCGTCGCCATGGGATGCCCATGTTTATGCCATGCGACATCCTGCCGGTGGTCCATTATACGACGCAGTGGTGGTACCTGTTACGCAAGAACACAATCCGCGCTCTAGCTGCTTTACAATAAGGGCATCCTGTGGATAGGCCTAGCTCACTGCGCAGGTGCTTAGTGAGTACTGAGTAGTCTCCATCGTGTCAAATGTATGGACCAGCGGCGATTCTGCAGTCCGTCGCGAGCCCGCGCGGCGGCAGCTGCAGCCGTACGTCGGCGATAACTGACGAGTGTCCGCCGACACCCCGCGGATCCGAACTGCCGGCGCCCGCTGCTGTTTGGAATGTCGATAAGGGCGACGTCATGCCGGCAGGCCAGCGGAGTTCGGACCGTATGTGTTTACGGGCGATTCAACCCGTCCGCTCTCTTGGTACATGTGACCGTGACCGATAGCCCACTCACTACTCAGCTGATCCCAGCCGCTCAAATAACAGGCGCAGGACAAAGACTCACGCCACCGCCGTATCCTGCAGTCAACTTAGCAACGACGGTAGCCTAATTATGGAGCAGACACGAGATCTAATCTATAGGTACTGAGTCTGCTAACGAGTACCAAATCCAACCTACTCATCAATTCGCTTCACGCGATTATTGATAGATGTGGGAACATCAAAGCAAAGTAGGTGAACGTCTTTTTACTGAATTAGGACGTTATACTCGTATATAGGTACTTGGGCATTGACGATTAAAAGGCATGTGGGACAATCGAATTATAGCGTCTGGAATCAACGAAAGACAATAGCCGTTTTCACGACGGCCATCTGGTACACATTTGGTGCACATCTGGTACAGATTAGGTGCAGATTTGGTCAAATCAGGTTCAGTGTGTCTCTCTTAGCAGCTATCAGCTAGGGTTGCACGAATTGCTTATATGCCTGCTTTGTCATATTATCAGAGAGCATCATCGATTAAAACACTGAAATAAATTCATAAAATGAAGATATTTGCTGTAAAAGAAATTAGGTGCAGATTTGGTCAAATCAGGTGCATTCGCCGGACAGCCCGTCGTGAAAACGGCTATTGCCTCCTCAATAACAAAACGAAACCGGGTCGATTCGCCCGACTTTCCTCCTCCAGTCATTTGAAAAGGCGCTTTTAATTTGCGGCGTAATTTGGTTATGATGGCCTCTCCGACCGTAATTATTCCTATTTCCTGACCGGTCTCGCACGACAGAGATGTTATGCCGTATGTTGTGGCATCGCTCCGCATTTGCACAACACATTCTGTGATAATGTGTCCAGGTTTGCGGTGCAGCCGTCGGATTCAGTCCAGTCCGAAGGGAAGAGCTCACAGGTGGGATCACTGACCCACGAATCACAGCTCATTAGTTGCATCTGCAGTAACGTCCGCTTTCTCTCGCAATACAGGTTTCTACAACTGAGGTCATAACGGGACCGTCTATGCCGGCAAAGCTGGTCGGAGTCCGGAGACGAGATGACATATTCACGGTTGTGGGAACTAAGTGCATTCATTTTTGCCGTATAAACGCCAAAGGTCTGTTAGGGGGAGTAATCACAGTATTATTTTTTTAGAATGTTTGGAACGCCACCGCAGGATTCAGTGCGCCAGGCACCCAGGCGATCCGCCCCGCTGTTGTTTACAAACACGAGGACCCCGGCCGCCCCTGCCGCGGGGCCGGCCCCGGTACTCACCCCTCTCCTTGAGGCGCGCGCCCGTCTCCAGCGGGATGACCAGCAGGGGCAGGATGCCGCTGAAGCCGACCAGCGCGGCGCCCACCACGGACAGCACCACCGGCTCGTGGCGCGTGTAGAGCTGCTGCAGCGCCGCCAGCGGGCCGGCCGCCGCCGCCGGCGCCGACGGCTCGCCGCTGCGCGGGAACGCCCGCTGGTGTTTGGCTCGGTGCAGCTCGCCGGCGGCCGCGGTCAGCAGCAGCAGCGGCAGCAGCGCCGACAGCACGTGGCGCCGGGACGGGACAGCCATGGCGGCGCAGTGCACAGTGTTCGGCCGCCGGCCGCCGACTGCCGCCCGCCGCCGTCACACGGTCGCTGATCGGTCCCAGATAGCGGCGGCCGTATCACGGCTCCTCGCACGGTGACCGGCAGCCGCGCGCGCCGCGTCGTGCCCCCTCCGCGAGCGGTCGGGCGATGTCCTCCCACCCCGCAGCCGCCGACGCCACTGTCCGACGGAGCCGGCAGCAGCGGCGCACAACCAGGCCACGGGGCCGGCCCGCGCCGCCGCGCCGCCCCACTCTCTCCGGCCGCGGCCGTCCAGGCGAGAGAGCGGAGTCGCCACCGGCGCCCTCCAGGATGGAGCAGCCAGATTTCGTAGTAGACGAAACCGGTCGCCTCCGTCACCCTTCAGACTGGAGCGGCCAGATTCAAAAGCAGACGAAATCGGTTACCTCCGACGCGTTCCAGCGTGAAGCTGCGATTCGAGGGCAGTCGATGGATTTTTGGCGACTCCGACACCGACTCCGACTCCGGTCAGAGCTATCGACTCCGACCGACACCGACTCCGATTCTGATTCCGACTCCGCAACCCTAGGGAAGGCACAGTCGAATCGTTGCAGGTGCAGGGCTGAATAATGTCGATATAGAATCGCAACGACAATGATAATGCCAGTATAACCCCGCGTTCGATGTCTCTCGGACGACGATGATTCTACGCCGTCCGGCGAATCACGTTCCATACCACAGCCGAGCCCCCGCTGACTTTGAACGTGATTGGCCGGACGACGTAGAATCTTAGTTGTCCGAGAGACATCGAACGCGGGGTAAGTCAGCCCTTACCGAAACTACCGGATTTCTAAGAACCGACAGTCGACACTATCAGGGCAATCAAGGGAAGGAGTACGACACGACCCCTTTACTAAGCTAGAGCTTTTCGGAAAAAAAGAATCGTGGGCCTTGGCCGTTCCAACGAGATGCAATGCAGCTAATGAAAGGCACCCAGTTTTTAAAGTTGCAGTTAAAGAGGTGACCTCTAATGTCAGGTCGACGACCAACACGTTGGGATTCTGTTTTGGGAGCATAAAGCTTAGTCAATTCCAAAGTGATTTGGCGGCAACGACATCCAATACCTAACCATCTTACTTCCAAACAATTTGTCGCCGATGGCGAAAACGTATGTTTTAACTTAAGCATGACCCTAGGTCATCATCAAGTGTCCGCTGCCTTTACGTGTCCGTGCGTCTCAATTTTTCGTTAGATAGGTACATACATTACAAATTGGCATCTCCAAGCAAATAACGTGGCAAGAAATTAGCCATACATCGATGATCGACCAGAGTATCCACTAACTCCGTTTTAATATTAACCCGCGCCATGATGGGGTCTGCCGAGCAGCGCGGTCTGATGGGGGAGGGCATTTTGCACCCCCCCCCCCTAAGATCTCGAGCGACCCAATTTCATTGACCTCGGTCTAAACGATGACGTCACAGATCAGGTCATAGGTCGAATTTTCACCGTTTACAGATAGTACAAGAAAGAAATGCGTTGTAAAATCAAGTAAAATGCATTTTATTGAAAATCATCGATGGGGAAATGTTCGTCAAACACATATTTTGCTATTTGAGGTCACTGATGCTAGATCAGGTCACAGAGGTCAGGTCACGTTGAGGGTCACAAATTGAAAATATTATGTGATGCATGTTTTATGGTCCATTTTATATGCCAAATGCGAGTATGTAGGACAGGCAGCCCTTGGGGTCGGTTGAGATTATGTTTTGGTGAAGGTCAGGTCAAGGTCAGGTCAAGGTCAGGTCAAATTAGATCAAATTTCAAAGTTGATATTTTGCATAAAATGGATATTGATTCGATGCAGCTCGTCACGGGGAGTTCAATGGTGGTCTCCGTTTTGCGCTACGTGGTCTAGAATTGCTAAAAATTGAGTTCAAAAATTTGACGTAATCAATTTTGAACCGTTTTTTCCATATAACTTGGCCAAAACAGGAGATATCGATCTTAAATTTGGTATGTATATCGAAGATCGCAGGGACTATCACATACATTCCGTTTTTTCGAAATTCGAAAAAATTGGGAATTTTTAGAGTTTTTCTAAAAAATTATTTCTTTATTTTGGGGTGAAAATTCCAAAGTTTCGAAAGTCCGAAATAGCAGTTTTGTAGCGCCGTCTTTTCTCTACATAACCACATAAAGAACTACAGAAAATCTACAGTTGCTTGTTAACTGTAGATTTGGTGAGCGTTTCAAGATGTCATGTTTTTTGCTCATTTTTACTCGAACATGACCTCAGTTTGACCTCAATAACTCCTGACCCAAGGTGACCTGTGACTTGACATTTTGTGTGAAGGTGTCAAATTGATGCCCGGGAAGGTACCCCAATTTGCCGTTTTTCGCTATTTAAGAAAAACCATAGGGGGGGGGGGGCGAAATGCCCTCCATCACGGCGCGGGTTAAACGTTTAGGATGATATGGTAGTGGGCTTGAGATAACATTTCAAGAGTCGTCGTTCTCGACTGTCCACCCGGCTGACTGACGACCTAATCGGCCGAACCCGCTCCCGTCGATTCGTCATCTCTGTCGTCCCATGAGGCATCGCTTCAGGCTCGTTTTACACGGTGTTCGCTCGCCTCGTCTCGGCGCCTCGGGCTGTCATTAGGGTTGGCCGGCCGCCAGCCGATGCTCCACTTCTCGCCCGCTTCCTCATTCAGCTTTCCTCATCGGGCGGCTTCTCTCGCCACTCCGTTCCCCGTTCGTCCCGCTCCCTCAGTCACTCTGTTCCCCCTCTGAGACAGCTCCCAGCCGTCACACACAGCTCGGGCCGGCCGCTGTCCCGGCGTGCCCCCTGTTCCGGGTCGTCCGGTCCGCCCCGCCGCCGCCCCAGCCGGTGACCCCGCGGCGACCGATCAGCGGTGCGAGGCGCGGCCTGACGAATAGGTGCCATAGCTGCGGCCGGCGCCGCGCCGCGAGAGCGCCGAAATAAGCCGGCCGACTGTCAAAACAGCGCGGACGGCCGACTCGCGGGGGCGCGGGAGGCCTGCAGGACCGACCGGACCTCAGACAACAGGTGCGGGCGGCGCGCGGAGGACGGAGGACGGCGCGGGGCGCTCCGAGCTCAGCCAGCGCCAGCCGTGTCCTTCGATGGCGGCCAGGTGAGGCGGGACGAGGGCTGGCGGCAGCATCGGCCGATCGTTGGGAGACAGGATCGACTGATGACGGTGAGGCAGTCTCCAGCCGATCGTGGGGAGGCAGGGTTGACCGATGGCGGTGAAGAAGGCTCCGACTGATGACGGTGAATAAGCCTCCGAGTGATCGCACGGTGTGACAGGATTGACTGATGACGGTGAATGAGGCTCCGAGTGATAACGATGAGGCAGGTTTATGAAGAAGTCCATTGATGGTGTACGGATAGACCGCACTCTAATGGTGAGAACTTCAGGCAGGACCAGCAATGGCGGATAGGCGAAGCGTGAATGGTGGTGACAGGTAAGACGAGAAAGACTTCTAAAGGCGGACCGATACAGGGGATACAGCCCAGGCGGGGCAGACCGACACAGGCGCAAGGCTGAGTCAAGATTAGGTACTTTACTTTTAAGGCTGAGTAACACAGTGTGTGCGCGCTGCAGGTAGTCACTTAGTCCAGCGCTGTCCCCGTTATCTACACCGGCTCTCGGAGACACGGCCCTCTCATATACCATTTCGAGCGCATTACCTAAATTGTTTCTCTTTTAATTCATTTTCAACTATCACGTAGTTATACCTATCATAGGTACGCATGTCGTGAAAATACAGGGTGATCAATAAAGAATGACATAAACTTAGCCCTCCGGAGAAGCACATAATACGTATTTTAACACATAAATAGCACACCGTTAGAAAGAGAAATGTGGGACATTTGACGTAACATAAACCGAAGTCAGTTGTGACACTTCGTTTGTCTACAGGAGGTGCTCGAAGAGGTCTTGCTTCTCCGCTCGGCGGAGCCCGGCCATGACCTATACGTTCCGGGCGCCTTCTTGTATGGAATCAGCTTCTGTGGATTATTCGGCTACCAGGAGACTATATCCTTCCTGTGGGTGCTTGCTGTAGCGGAAACCACTTCTCGTCACTCCAGATCATCCGTTCGAAACATTCTTCCGCTTGATTGAGCCAGAAGGTGCAGGCTTCCAGCCTCGATACAATACCTACTGTCATCGGAGAGGACGGTCGTTAGGATCGGGCGATATGGTTTCCAGTCCAGTTTCTTGTACAGAATCGCCCACACATTCCTAAAAGTCATTCCCAGGTTTCCTGAAGCACTGCGAAACTGGATGTTGAGCCGATTTTTTTTAGGAATTGTCAGATTTTCTGCACCTCGTAGGTAAGTACCGGCAAGGGCCCAGCATCCCTGGTCACCCTGCAGTCCAGAGTTTTTCCTGCCTGGACTTGAGCTTGTGGCTCCAAGCAGCTCAAAAAATCGTGGAGAGAACTCAAGACCCTTGATGAGCTGAATGCTGTCGTTAGTCGTCGAAGACTACACCCTCACATGGTCGGTAACCATCTGAGACGCATGGCGCGGCACACCTGGCGCAGGGCCGAGCTCCGCTGCGCTTAGAGGGGTGGGCAGTGGGCACTTCGAGCACCTCCAATAGACAAACGAAGTGTCACACACAACCGACTTTCGTTTGGGAAATGTCAAATGTCAAATGTCCAACATTTCTCTTTCTAACGGTGTGCTGTTTACGCATTAAAATATGTATTATGTGCCTCTCGTGGGGGCTAACTGTATGTCATTCTTTATTGATCACCCTGTATACGCCTAGGCTTCCAAAAACTGATACCTAAATCAAATGTACTTGTCCCATAACTGCATTACCTATTTTCTGCAACCGATATGTGATTGTACCTATACAAATATTCGACACGATTAACCCGCGCCCCGCTGGGGGGGGGGGGGCAGAATCTGCCCCTCCCCCTCCCGTTTTTCGCCAATAACTTCTAAACGCGTTACGCCAGCGACGTCAAACTTTCAGTACCTTATCAATATCATACATCAATTTTAGACGTTTCCTGAAAATTTGAGCGAAATCGGTCGGAAACTTTTGGAAAAAATGACGTTTAGTGAACGTCATGTTCGCCATTTTTGCCTAAAAAACGGCAAAATTTCAAACGCCGCTAACATTTTCATTTTTAAAGGAATCGAGACGTAACAAAAAAAGGTTATACGTGATTCTACTTTGTCTATCAAATGGCTATCTCGTTTTTTTTTTTAATTTTGGATTTTGGCCTAAATATTTTCATAAAACTGACTTTTTGGGAAAATAAATAT